GACAGCTGGCACGGTGGAGAGCAGCGGCGGGATCATCTCCCTTCTGTGAGACAATGAAGCTCCGCAATCGTCCCTCAGGCCCACATCCGTCTCCTCTCCTGTCTGAGACACAGAAATTAGGCCAGTTTGTCACTTAGACACAAGCAAACTAGATTTTGACATTTTCTAAAATCAATCGCATGCTTTTTTTTTCTCCCAAAACATTTTGGTAGTGTGTAGTGTATTTGCATAGGCATTTACCTCAACTAAACAGCGGTTTACACCGGTGTTTGCTCAAGCAAAACTCCTTTGCACAACGCCATGGTGTTGTTATTTGGTTACCAAGATGTTTTAAGTGGTTGCCATGTAGTTGCTAAATAGTTTTAGGTGGTTACTAGATAGGTGATTACTGGCCCAAGCCAAAATAACATTGTGCGTGTGTGTGTGTGTGTGTGTGTGTGTGTGTGTGAAGATAGCTCCTATAGAAGAGTATTATTTTAGTATCATTTCTACGCTATAATAGTATTTATTAATATTTAAAAAATAGATTTTTGTTTTTATATTTTAATTTTAAGTTAATTTACGTTTTAGTAATATTGTCATGTGCTGTAATTTTGATTAGCTTTTTAATTTTCTTTTTTAATTTTATTTGTATTGGATTTTTTCCCCCTAGTTTTGTAATTATAGTACTTGTACGAAAATTTGAAATGTTGCTTTTTTCAGCCTTTAACTGAAAGAAATAAAATTAGTTTAAGTTGAACTTTTTCATCTAATATTTATATTTTATTTCAGTTAATGTAACAAATTGATATAGTTTTTGCTAAAAAAAAAAAAAAAAAAAACGTTTTAGATAAAGGTTAAAATAAGACCAAATAAAAGAAAAGGTTTAAAATAAAAAGTAATGTGATATATTGGTGCAAATGTAAGATGTTAAGTCACAGCTGCAGTTCTCTCACATTTCAAGATATAGTATCAGATTTGGAGAAACATAAGGCTGAAATTGTTAGATATAAAGTTGCAATTACCTTTTTTATACTCACTCAGATGCAGAAACGGCTTCCATGTGTTCCCCATCTCAAAGCATTAATGGTGCAGGATAGGTAATGTGCTGAAGTTTAATTAACGTACATAATAGCGATGCTTGTTTTAACAAACGCTACAAGCAAAATGAACCTGAACTAAATAATTATAAGAGTGTGTTTTGTTCAAAGATCCATGTAAAATTCTTCTCTAAATCATCTGTGGACAACTTTCAAACAAAAAGACTCTTGAGACACATTATTGCACACTGTTGCTACTTTAAGAAGCATTTGTGCTTTTTCAAAAGACAATATTGCTAATACAGTTACAAAGTAATAGTTATTAAAACATCGGCCTTCAAAAGGTGTGAGAAAGTCAAGAGTTCAGAAACAATATCAAATAAGACGCGCCCCACAATCCTGTGGTGTTTCAAGAGACCCTCAGCAATTTCCTTGAAATACCACATTTAACACGAACCAGCGTGGGTCTGTTTCTACAACCACCAGAGCAATTTGGGATTCGAGGGAATAAAAATGCTCATATTTGGAATTTGGAATTTTAATGTCCTGGAGTCTTTGATTATGCAAGATAAACCAAAAACTTAAAGCCACAACGATTCTTTATATATCTGAAGCATAAACACATACTTTTTGACCTCAGGATGAATGCAGTCTGCATGGAATGCATCGTTCAGATTTATTCAAATGGACAAAAGTTCATTTGACAACATGATATAAATCACAGTCATGTACAAATACTGCAATAGAAAATACTTGTGCAAATAAATACATATTAAAGTTAACATCTCTAATCAATAAAACAGACAAAAGGTACTTCATCTCATTTCTTTTCCTTCCAAGCAATTTGGTAATAACCGTATTGCCTTTTTGGCGAGAAAAATCACAGGTTTCTTTAGATATACATCGCAAACATGCTCTCTGACGCCTGTAAAAGCAGTTTACTCAGGTTTAACATTTGTCTTCGGCCCTAAACAGGCTGTTTGCATATAAAAAGGCAAGTACACGCCAACTAAACAGCTGTTTACTTGCTGCTTCCCGAGTTGAAAAGTTAGAAGAAGCCTATGTTCTGTAGATAAGAACATAGGAGGTCTGTGGCGCGTCCTGTTTTACATTACAACATTTCATTTGGTCCTGGTCCTGGCCCGGCTCCTTCTGCGCCAATCGAGTGTTGGGTTACAGCGCAAAGAGGCTCAGCACCCACCCGGATTGCAGGAATGAGTGGAAGTCCTTCGTGCCAAGTCTCTCCAATAACCCCCCGTGTGACACAGAAGGGACCTTTGTGAAACGATCCCTCCACTGACCAGTGAACACTGTTTAATTAACCTTTTCTCCTCTCCCTCCTCCCATATTCCCATGTTTTCCTAGGAGGGCCAAAGAGAAAAGCATAATCTCTCCTTCCAACACCCTTACGGCCCCCCGCACAAATACTCACACACATACACACACCTTTTCTTTCAGTAATCAGAGTGAAAGAATTTATTTTTTTCCACCCACTCTATTATAACAGTTCAGAATCGCCCGTTGTTTAAGGACTGGACCGGAAATGGTCTTTCTAAGAGTGGAAGGCGGTCGGGGCTGTGTGACGGTGCTTGAGGGAAGCGGTCGGGGGACATCCTGGCGACCGGGTGCCCAGACAAGCAGGAGCGAATGGGAACAATAGCCCTCCACGACCTCTCTGCCCCGAATCCAACTCCCGGGAATTACGG